GGTTCCCCCCGTCCGCAGCAAAATTTTCCAAGTCTTCACCGGTCCGTGGTAATAAAAAGGTTGGGGACCACCGGCTTAGAGGATACGCTAATGACATACCTTGAAGTCCCGCCCCTGGCCTTTCTGCAGCCAATGAGAGGACAGAGTCAGGGTGATGTCATTCTGTTGCTGTTCCGCTGTCCTATCAGATAGCCCTACCCTGTCAGGATAGCATACATGCAGTTAGTACGCATGCCCGCGCATGCGCATTAAGAAGTCCGACCGTCAGTGGAGTTGTCAGTTCAGGCAACAAGTTATGACGAAAATAAGTCATTAAATTGTTTATAATAACGTATAATATGATAACTAGATGAATATACATGCGTTGTCGTGGTTTCAAAGTGTATTTAAAGCAGGTCAATTACAACACAGGCTGGTATAAAACTCATTAACCGCTAAGTCAGGATGTCATACAGCTGTTAATAAAGTGTATGATGATCGACATGATTCTATGTTGCTGATTAAATAAAATCATATGGTAATAACAGCTATACGTGTCTGAGCTAAGGTATGACTATCTGACAAGGTATGCTGATCTGACAGAACAGCGCCTCTCAGCCACTAGGGGAGGCTGTTCATGCTAACAGCGACTTCCTCATATGAAGGGTTGGATCCTCAGCTCTGTGGAGAGAGGTTCTAGATCCTGGTTCGGCCCGGTCCAGTTTGGTTCGGTCCAGATTTCTGGGTCCTGGTTCTGATCAGAACCAGGTTCTGGTGTTTAATACGTCCTCTCCTCTCACCATCTGGACTCAGATGAGAGAAACCCGACCCCATCAGAACCGCCACCGGGCCGGACCCTTCCCACTTTCAGAACCGCCACTACTGCTGAGAGGTCAGCTGCCCGTCCCGTCTGAACCATCAGAACCTCCAGGAGGATGAAGATGAGGATGGTTCAGGCTGAGGTCTTCTCTGTCAGAACCAGAACCAGAACCAACAGACTCTGACCTGGTTTCCGTGGAGTCGCTGCCAGATCGTCTACTGGAAACTTTCCTCACTTGGAGACGAAGAACGCTGCAGCAGCCGGAGCTTCTGATGGTTCTGACGGGCCGGCGGGTCCAGCAGCTTCTGCTTTCCGCTCAGGTTGGCGCTGCAGTTTGAAGTGGAGGAGGAAGATGAGGAGGAGGAGGGAGAGGATGAGGAAGAGGAGGAGGAGCGTCCTCCTCCTCTTCCTCATGGTCTTATTTCTGTTCCTTCGTTTTATTTTTAGATCCTTCTCTTCCTGAGCTGCTCATGATTTCCTCTGGGTCCAGGTTCTGCCTCTGAACCGGGTCGGCTCTGACCCAAACCCAGTTCCACAAGAAGAACCCTGGAAAACCTGTCCCGGCTCACCTGGACCGAACCCATCACTCATCCCAACGGTTCTGATCCATCACTGGCTGAAGGATCAGAACCGTTTTAACCAAACTGAACTGAGACAGAACGCCAATCAGAACCACCGGTCCAAAACTGAACAGCAGGAAGTTCTGGAGTCACAACCGACATTTTACTGAACAAAGTTAGAACAGAACCAGAACCAGACAGACTAATCGCCCGTCATACTGGAGCTGCTGTTATCTCCTGTTGCTAGGAAACAAACTGGTTTCCAGTCCAGCTTGATGGAGCTCTGGCTCTGCCTCCGCAGCGCCACCTTGTGTCAGGCTGAAGCAGTGAACGGATGAACGCAGCTTTTATTTCATTCATGCTTTCATTGGTTCAGCCATGATGTTCCTCTGGTTCTGACGGACTGGGTCAGAACCACACGGTCTGCTGGTCACAGCGGTTAACCACAGCCCACATAAGAAGGCCTCAGTCCTCGACGCAGGTTCGATTCCCACCCTGGTGGCCTTTGCCGCATGTCTTCCCTCTCTCTCATTACTTTCCTGGCAAAGCACTTTCAAATAAAGACCGCTACAGCCAAAAAACGCCAAACAAACCAAAAACAAAATCTATTAGATAATCAGTGGTTCTGTCATGGTGCCATCTGGCGGCGAACCATGGCAATACAACCACACCATTTATTATTTAGCCTTATATTAGAAGTTTGTAAAATAAATCAACACAAAAGGGAAATTAAAGCAGCAATTTCTAGAATATATCCAATTGCTCTGAAGTCTATCATATATTAATCTGATCTGAGTTCAGCCAGAAAACCGTTTATGTTTGGGAGGAAATTATAAAAATATGGAAGCCCTTTCGAGTTTTACTTTTGAGATATTGGAGTAAGCCTCCTGACTGATTTCTGTCTCATAAGTATGACTTTAAAACTGGAAATTATGACTTCCTGTCGGATTTTAATTTTTTCTCTTCCGTGGTGGAAATGGCTTCCATGGAGTTCTGTGTGTGAAATCTACCCACTGTAGCTCTATCGGTTAGTAGTTTTTTTTCCTAGACATATATTCACCGACTGTATCTTCAGGTGTGTTAGTCACAGTTTATTCTCCAAGGCGGAAGTCTGGAAACAAAACAGACGTTTCTGTTCCAGTTTTCTAAAGAGAATAGATTAAAGTGGACATCACTGCTTTATAAGGAGAAATATTGTTGAGAATTTGATAAATAAAACCGATAAATATTTAACAAAGCTTTCTAATCATCAATAATAGGAGATGTTCCTCAACTAAACATGCAGGTATAATAAAATGAGAACTCCCTCTGTATTTACATCCCGCGGCTGGGCAGCAGGGGGCGGTATTGTGACAATAACTGTAACACATGGGAACGTCATTACGTCTCAACCAATGAGCATAACTACCATGGCCGTGGTCCCGCCCAGAAGGCATCCCGCCTTGATGACTAACTGACAGCTGAGTGGCGCTCTGGTTCGATTCGAATCTCCGGGACCAGGTAAACTTTTCTCTACTGTCTTTGGACCGGGGAGAGGCGCGGCGCTACGGCTGGTTCTGGTTGTTCCTGTGGTCAGAATAGGTACCGGTATGTTACTGAAGCTAACAGCGGAGCTAACAGCTAGCTGCTTCCTGCTGGTGGGAGTTAGGCTGGTTAAACTGTTTAAACTGGGGTTTAGGGTGATAACTAGCGGGTCGGAACCACAGGGACACAGATGGACCGGTACCGTAAGAGTTTATCACTCACACTAACCGCGGAGTTAACTGACAGCTAACTATCAGCTAACAGGCGACTAGCAGGTTTAAGTTTCCGCGCGCCAACTCGCGTGCACGTGATGCAAATAAAGAAGATCCGTCACAGTCTCTGCACGCGCATGATCCCAGTGCACGCGCTTGACGGTAACCTGCGCTGACTGACATTAACGTCTTGTGTCAGAGGCGCCAGACTCCATTCATATTTCGGTGGATTTAACCGAATAAACGCAGCAGTTGGGTTAAACTGGGTCATTTAGCACTAGTTATTACTAGAAATGGGTCTGCAGAGGTTCGGCATCAGAACCCAGCAGTCTGGAACAGAAGCATTTAGAAAAGCTATTAGGAACGGGCCACTTCAGGTCAGCACAATACACGGTTCTGGTTTAACTTGGCAGAGATAGAAATCAGCTGGTCTGTTACTTGTCTCCGTTTCCACGGTAACTGTTGCTGGGAATACTTTGATTAGGCTACTGATAATAGTTTAATAAAAATACATCATTACATTTTAACTTTAACTACATCAGAAACTTTACTCATTCAGCATGAGAACTCATTAAAAATGGTTTTTGTTCAGTTTTTGCCTTTTCTGATTGGATGTCCTGTAGTTTATGAATATTGACTTTCATATCAACACCTGAGCTCTTGTGTATAAAACGTGTGTATACACAAAAACTGTGCGGTGCCATATTTTATGCACAAGTCGGCATGCATAAAAATGAAAGTTTGCGTAAATATACGCAAACTTTTGACCTGCCGTGAGATTGTGCAGCAGCCATGCAAACTTTATCTATGAACAATAATAAACTACAAAGAGTCAAAACTCACATAAATCCACTGAATCCTAATTCAGTTATTTAGACCAGGAAGCATCAAACCTGATGATTTTATGATTTTAATATTTTAGTGTTTAAACGATGAAACTGAA